TTTGTTTGTGTGCTCAGCTGTTGAATACCTTTTAACCTTTACATTTTCCCCCTTCTTTTACTATATTTGGGTGGCAGGTTCCTCTCTTGAATTTCCAGAACTCTTAATATTCTCCCTCATTTTTATTCTGCCAAAACACAGCATCATTTTTTAAATCCCATGACAGAGCATGCACTCCTTCAGAATGAGGATATATTCAGTCCCAGAGCATAACAACATAGGATGCTTACAGAAGTAGAAAAAAGAAAAAGAACTTTACTTTAAACTTTGTGTGCCTCCACACTGAGGCCAGCGCCTGTCCAGAAGAGGCACTTTGATTTAATAGCTGATTAAATCAGCTATTAGATAAAAGCCCCCAAAAGCCCCACTGAAGCGTGTGATCTATACAGATGCTGTGGAGTTAGACTAATGCACTGCCTCTTCTGGTAAAGCACTGTTTTATTTTGTTTTGGGTTTTTTTCCCCATATCTGTCAGCATCCACAACTTCTAAATTAGTTTGGATGAATCAGCAAAGTGGTGTTTTATTTTTTTGTTGGTTTGTTTTTTCCTTCCTTGTCCAAAACATAAAGACTCTTCACCCTCACTTGCCAGCATGTTCCTTAATATGGCCTCTGCATTACAAAGAGGCTGTGGTTTTTCCATATGGGTTCTACTTTTTGCTTTCCAGTGAAAGTGTTGAGTGCGGGAAGACCAAGGGACTTCATTCAAACCTTATTGATCTGTTTATTATTTCCCCCTTGATGTGCTACTGTACTCATGCACACATTCTCTTGTTTCCATTTGGAGGCAAACGGAGCATTTTTTGCTTCACATTTGGGGAAGTTAATGATTTCTACAGATTTTCTTTTACTGTTAAATATACTATCATCTAGATAGTATTGTTATTTATATCATCCAAATGAGCCTTCTATTCTATACACATGACTTTTTTAACAAGCTTTAACTTCTTCATTGCCAAAAAAATGTTACAGTATTCCATAGCAGTGCTCCATGATGCCATCGGCCTGATTCTTCTGTTACTTCAGCACAAACCTGGTATAATTTCATTAACTTGAATGGAGCTACACCAACATAAATTAATACGGTGGAGCATCTAACCCTCTATTTTACAATAGACATGCAGTATTAGCATGTAGTGTTTTTCAAATAGGAAATAACTATTTTTTCCCTCTGTTTGCTAACTGTCCCTGCCTACAATTGGCAACTGCTAATATAGGGTGTGTGTAGACAAAACAGGGGCTCTAAATTGAAGCGATGGGTTTTAAAAAGCACGGTTTCAATTTAGGACTGGTTAAACCCCCATGTTTTGCACACAGCCCACTGACTTACCTGCCTCTCCGGCGGGGAGGGAAGGGTGAGCTGCCAGTGGGTGGAGCGGTCTCTGGGTGGTGGGGGTGGGGCTGGTGTTTCCCTCCGTGGCAGTCAGCTGCACCCCACCCCCCCAGTCGACACCCTGCTCAGGCAGACCTTGGGGGCACCACAGCCGTGGAGGGAAACACCAGGCCCCTGCACATCTCAGGCAGGCTTCACGGGTGGGGGAAAAAAGATCAGGCTCGCCACTTTTCTTGGGCAGAACCTGCTTTCCCGGACTGCTGCCTGACTGCCTGCAGGGCTTCCTGCAGAGTCGTGGAGCTGCACAGAACCTGGTGCTTTGCTCTACTGCTATACGGGCAGCAAAATAAATCTCTTTGAAGAAGTTTTAGTTTGCTGTGCCCCAGGTCATTTAAGGTGAATTACGCTGCTGAATTTCCTACAGCAACTAGAATTAATGCACAGTACACCGCTGAGGCATGCAAACACTAACACCATTAAAGCAGTGCAAAAGCATATCGTCCGCTTTAAAAAGTCATGCACACACCTCTTGTTTCGTCTACACACGGCCACAGTGAGCATAAGCTAATTAGCTCTAAATAAGTAACCCGCTGTTTTAGGCAACCACTTTAAATTTCCATAGGGCTTCTTTTTGCATTTTTTTGGTTAAGAAGTGGTCACACGTACCTCACTATTAGGCCATCAGTTTCTTCTGCTCACTGCACAGTGGCTTTAGACAGATTTTACTGTTACCCAGTCTTTATATTTTCTTGAAGAACAGTTGAAGGTTACTAGTGACAGTGTAACAATTATTAAAAGTAAATTGTCGGACAGTGTTCTCTTTAAAATACATGTGCAAGCATAAAATGCTGTTTCACTTTAGTAGCAGTAAAACTGTGTATCTGTTCCTCTCTCAATTTAAATCTATATTGTGTTGCTAGTCTTTGTTCAGTATCTTGCCATGTATTATAAACTACTGGTAGTCTACCTTTTTATATGGTTGGTGAAAAAAGTAATATGGGGGATATGTCAAGACATGATTTGGGGTAGAGAAGCTTTCTCCAGTAAGGCAGGTACCATAACTAGAGTGGCTTTGATTACAGCCTGTGTATCATGGAGCTCATTTGAACATTACACAATGAGTATGAATTAAGTGACTTGCTCTTACTAAACTATGATCCATTCCATTATGTTCATCTTAGATACTCCTCTTCAGTGTCAAGTGGGCAGGTGCAGTGTGTTGATTGTGGTATATATAAACTGAATGCGTGACCTCCTACCTGAGATGTTAATAATATTAACAGGAGTTGTATGTCAGAAACTCCCCTGGGCAACCCCAGTCTCCAAACAGTAATCTGATCGTAAGTTAAAATGAATAAAGGCCAAGTAGTCCGATTGACTTAAAAAATAACGTTTATAGATTTGTGAAACTTCTTATGTCTGATTAGTGATTCCACGTGGAAGTAGCCTGTTGACCTTTGATATCTGTGACCTACACTGCTTCGTGGGGAGACTGGAATTAGATCACCAGTCATTTCACCACAGAGCCTTCAAAAATAAAAAGGCTAAAGCAGAACAAAATTGGGAAGGTATTCAGCTACTGCATGTGCCACCATTTGAAACTGTTTTGCCCTGTCTGCGTAAATTCTGATAGGCTTGATTAGTTTATTCAGGCTCCAGTAAATAGATTTCAAGCTTCAAGCATTATATTCCAAATGAAAGAACTACATAGCACAATAAGCAAATGGAGTATTTTGATGTTGCACAACAGACCTGGAGGGAAATACATGGCCTGTATTCTGCATCTGTAGTGTTTATCCTATTAACAAAAAATTGCAAGAAAAAAGCATTTATATAAAACAGTGAGCACTTTAAATATTGTGGTCTCTCTATTTTAGTCCATAAAGTTTAGGAAGGAACTGTGTTATTCCCTGAGCTGATAATGTAATATTGCTCTTGTAAAAGAACATCTGCACAATCTCTTTTCCATGTGTACTATTTGTTTAATTGCAGCAGATTTACATAGAAAGAGCATGGTACATCATAACTAGGCAATTATCCATTCTTCATCACTTAGTTATGGTTCCACTAATTGATCATTTAAGACATAAGATAGTCTAACATTAGGAACATTTGAGGCTGTTTAAAAAAGATCAACAAATTAATATTGTTGTGTGATATTTGCATAATTGGCTGCAATTATTTAACATTTAATTGGGTTGATCAAATGAGATTCAGCCTCTCGCATATGTATGCTTTACAAACAGTGGTGCTTTAAAATAATAATGAACTAATTTTTGCATGTTCTTTCTTTCCCCACTTCATTCTTTGATTATTATTTTCAACGTTGAGCATGTCCTTAATTTTCAGTTCAGTAAGTGTGATTTATCAGCAGAAAAGAAGTCCTTGGGATGAGAGAATGTTTCAGAGGTCCTTGAACTTGTATTTCACACTAACTTTTCTGATGGAGGAGTTGTGACATTACCAGCTTCTGGATTCAAGTCAGGGCAAATTCTCTGATGACTTGCAGTGACTTTCAAATTCTAACAAAA